TGCCTGCTTGTGATCTCTCTCTCTATGTCCAATAAATAAATAAAATATTTTAAAAAATGGAATTTCCTTTCAAAAAGTTAAGAGTCATGAAGAACCACAGAGGTCCTCTCCTGCCCCAATTCTCCCCCACACAAATCATACTTTCTGGAAATAATAATTTTCATCTATTCAAGTTGCTTCTTCTGATTTTGCCTCCATATTTCTAAATAGTGTATTTAAAATTCTATTTCTTTTTTTTTTAAAGATTTTATTTATTTATTTGGCAGACAGAGATCACAAGTAGGCAGAGAGGCAGGCAGAGAGAGAGGAGGAAGCAGGCTCCCTGCTGAGCAGAGAGCCTGATGCGGGGCTTGATCCCAAGACCCTGGGATCATGACCTGAGCCAAAGGTAGAGGCTTTAACCCACTGAGCCACCCAGGCTCCCCTAAAATTCTATTTCTTATATTAAAAAAATAGATGTAGCATGTTTTAACATTCTACTGTGGATAATGAGGACTTGGCTTTTATCCTAGCCCTGTTGGATTAACTCTTCCAGTGGTGGTCTTGTACCCTAGTTCAGTTTAACTTCACTTCCTCAGCTAATCTTTCAATCACCTGTCTGAATTAAATAGCTTCCATTGAATTTTTTTTTTTTTAAAGAAAGCACACTGTGTGTTTCTTTCATACTGCTCTAATTATTATCTTGATTTTTTTCCTTGTTTATTTGTTGTGGCAATACTCTGAGTTACCACAATCCCAAATTTATTCTCTCTTATCCCTACTAGATATTCTGATTAACTACCAGAATTCTGATTTTATTCAGGATAGTAACCAACTAACAAACAAAGAAAAACAGAACACTAAAAAAGGACCTTCAATTCTCTACACTCTTTCTATCTAACAAACATCTAATGAGATAGATGTAGAATTTTGGGGTGGCATCCATTTCTGAACAAAAAGAAAACTTCTGTGTGGGATAGATATAAGGTCTGCCAATGGAACAGCCATTTAGCAGCCCTGACAGTATAAACAAAAGGAGGAGGGCCCCACACTGAAGGTAGTGGGGAAAAGTTAAAAAGAGCTTGAGTCCTTGAAAGTGTTGTTGTGCTTGGACTCTCTACCTTCTAAACTTCTTTTGTGAGGAAATAATGTATTCCTAATAAAGTACATTGTGTTTTCTGTTTGTTTGTTTGTTTTTAACATTTTATTTATTTATTTGACAGAGAGAGATCACAAGTAGGCAGAGAGGCAGGCAGAGAGAGAGGAGGAAGCAGGCTGATGCGGGGCTTGATCCCAGGACGCTGGGATCATGACCTGAGCCGAAGGCAGAGGCTTTAACCCACTGAGCCACCCAGGCGCCCCAAAGTACATTGTGTTTTTATCATTCTTTCCCATTAGGTATTAAGTTCGAAGGAGCCAGGAACACTGTGAAACTTGTTTATCCTTATAGCTCTATATCACATTTTCTGAACCTCAGCACTATTGACATCTTAGGCTGATTAATTTTTCAATGCGGAGGCAATTTTGTACATGGTAGGATGTTTAGCAGCACCCCTGGGTGTACCCAATAAATGCCAGCAGCCATCCCACACCCAAATGACTCCCAGGTGTAAATTGCCCACCAGTTGGGAGCCACTACTTTAGAGAATGGGTTCAGTGCTCAGGATTAACAAACTTGTTAACTAATTAGATGTGAGGATTGAGAGGGATGGTAGAATTTAAGAGTGACTTCCAAGGTTCTCTCTTGGGCCAGTAACTGTAGTATTGTATCACGTGAAAGATGAGGAAGCACTTTCTTGTTTGTCAATGTTTCCCTTAAACGGTGGCTTTAAAGTTGAATAGATACTCCAGATGTGACTCTAACACCACAGATTTCTGTTTTGTATTAATGAAGCACAACATATCCCCATTGGCACAGTACTTTTCCTCACTTTTCAGTAGTGTAGCATTTTTCCCCTTTATTGGTTGCTTTGCACTATTGGCTTACATTGAAGTTGAAATCTACTAGAATCTCATGGTTATTTTGTAAAGAATCCTGGTGGTTCTTACCTTCCTTCATCCTCCAGTTTTGCATTTGTGCTTTTGAAGTGCCAGATTTTGCATTTTTCCTTTTTACATTTTATATCAGGCTCTGTTTCTGGTCTGTTAATATATCTCAAAATTTTTTGTTCTTTTTCTATTTCATATTAGCTCTCTCTGCCCAACATGATGTTCCACTGGCTGGTTGGTTAATAAAAATTTTGGCCAGACAAAGGACAAAATACATAACATTGGTGTATACTCATGAGCTGAGCTCAGAATAAAGGTCTTATAACCAAATCTTGGAAGAGAGATCTTAATAGTCAAAATATTTTCCCCGACATCCAAATTTAAAGATTACAGAGAGCTCTAAGTGAGCACTGGCTCTGAAGTCTGCTTCTAGGAATGAAGATAGTATATACCTTCAGAGAGGCACAAAAATAATAGCTTTTCATTTCTGATTAAATAGGAAGATCCAGTCAGCCTTCTTATTCACTCTGTTTAAACTATAATGCTTAGCTCAGTTGGGGTACTGGCATATAATGGGTGCTGATGCAACAGGGCAAAATCAAATGGTGTAGAATGGGCTTTCCAGTAAGTGCATAATACCTTCATTGACTATAAGAGAACCGAAGGACTAAGAACAGTAGAAAATATCCAAGATTGCAAATGACTATTATCTGAAGAGAATGCTATGACATACTATAGAAGAGTAATGGTCACCTGATCAAGATAACTCCTAAAATCATACAGTGCTGAAAAATAAATAGGATTCCTTGAAAGAAAGAAATATAAAACCACATATTTAGGGAGAAATAGTCAAAGTTACAGTTACAATATAATGGGTGTAGTTTTCTCTTATAATTGTCTTTTAAAATTTTTTTTAAATTTATGTATTTTTTAATTTATGTATTCATTTTTATTTTATTTTACAGATTTTATTTATTTATTTATATGACAGAGACAGAGAGAGAGAGAGCATAAGCAGGGGGAGTAGCAGGCAGAGGGAGTGGGAGAAAGCAGGCTCCCTGCTGAGCAGAGAGCCTGATGTGGGGTTTGATCCCAGGACCCTGAGATCATGACCTGAGCTGAAGGCAGACACTTAACTGACTGAGTCACCCAGGTGCCCTGTTTTTGTTTGTTTTTGTTTTTAGAATTAATGTTTATGTTTTATGATAGGCCCTCCTCCTCTGTCCCATGAAATATTTTGATATTAGCTAGTCTCTGCTTTTACTTTAACTATTCCAAATTATTCTTAATAGATGTTATTTACAAACATCACCATCATTATCTTTGTAAAACATTCTTTACTTGTGACTCTTCCCTGCTCCCTCTTACCTGTAGAATGAATTCCAAACTTGTCAGGACTTCATATAGGACACCGATTTTATTCCCGATTTATCTTTCAACTCTCCCCATGAAAACTATGTTCTACACACTGACCTACTTCATATTTTTGAATGTTCCATGCTTATCCAAACTTATGTCACTTTGCTCCTGCTGTCATTTCTGCATGAAGTGTCCTTCTCTACTCTTGTATTTGGTAAATCCATTAGCTTTCCTCGAAGCCCACATCAAATGTGACTTTCTCAATTTTGTATTTCTTACTTTTCCCTCCCCAATCCACAGTACCTGGAACTGTGTCTAAAAATTGAGGATATGCCTAACAAATGCTTATGAAATGAGCACTTAAAAAATCTCTAAAAATATGATGTGGTGGATTTGGTTTTATTGACATTTATATGAAAAGAAATCTTACATTATACAATAGGTTATCTGAAAAGCTATGAGTATATAGTATTTTAATAAATCAAATGTATTCAGAAAATCAATTCAGTAATGCTATTTGAAAATTAAAAAAGATACTATTAGTATATGCATTCTCCTTCACTATCACATTTTGTTTATTTATCTTGTGCCATAGCCTTATGGTTGCTTAGGCTATGGGCACAAGATATAGGGAAAACCAGTAACCAATTGTGGGTACATACTTTTTTAAAGTTTTTTTTAAAGTATTTTATTTATTTATTTGACAGAAAACAAATGAGAGAGCATGAGCAGGGGGAGTGGCAGAGGGAGAGGGAGAAGCAGATACCCCACTAACAAGGACCTTAATGTCTGACTCCATCCCAGGACCCTGGGATCATGACCTGAGCCAAAGGCAGATGCTTAACAAACTAAGCCACCCAGGCATCCCTGTGTGTATTTAACTTTAATCTAGTTTCTATTTCTTGAGTTGGGAATACCAGAATCTCCATTTTCTGTAGTGTATAATTACCATTGGTAGTATTTCTTTTTACCTATTTTATCGAAAATGTTTTTTCACAGCGACCAGCCTTTAAAGTTCTTTGGGAATATTGTTTCAGTACCCCAAGATCAAAAATAGTAAAAAATATTTTATGTTAGAAGCTAGGAAGAAGAAGAAAATTGATGACAGTTTTGCATGCTTGCATAGAAAAGGATAGCTGATGAAATAATATTTTAAATACTTTGTTTTGAAAACATATAAAAGGCTGGTAAATGATAAGAGAATGCTATTTGGGGTAAACACAAAGAATTGAATGGTAATTGTAGAATACCCTACTGTGTGTTCTTCACCTTAGTGGTTTGCTTGTGGACCTCTAAGATACTGGGAGAGGAACTGGAAGGTGAAGTGTACAAATGGGTAGTTCCTTTTTCAGTGAATTGAGAGGTAGAACATAGTGGCAAACAGAGGCAGTATCAATTGTCCTTTAAACAAAGTAACGTTTTTACCACTTCAAAATGTGACAGTGATTATGATTTTTTTGCGACTTTGAACCTTGGACTAAAATGTATGCTGATGTCCAACGGGGAATTCTAGTTTGAAAAAATTAATTGGGATCTCATTGATAGCTCCACATAATTGATTTTAACTAATAATTGTGGCTTCCTATGTATCTGTTGTTCAATGAAAGTGAACGGAAAGATATTTACATTTTACATTGTAGAAATTCTTACTCCTGTATTTTAATCAGAGATTTACTATCGTGATTTTTCTTTACACATAAACAGAGCACAATAGCTTATTAACATTGTCATATAGTTGACTTGTAAAATGTACCCAAAACCTTCACACTCTGCTTAAATACCATGAAGTTGGTGCAACCTACCATTTTTTTTTTTTTTTTTAGTCTTTACCTTCACACCCATTTTCGGAAATACTACCAATTCTTAAGTGTTTGGGGTCTTCTCTAGGATAACTAGGCTGCTTCTCAGCTTCTTATGTACTCAGGAAGCCACTTTCTCAGACTTAGGGTCAGGGTTAGGGTATGTCCTTGGTATTTTGCTCTTCAGGGACCTCTCAAGAGGGTTAGTGTTAGGGTTAGAGTTAGGGTTAGGGTTAGAAATTAGGGTTAGAAGTTAGGGTATTTGTCTAAAAACTACTGTTTTATTTCATTTCATTTTATTATTTTATTTTATTTTTTATTGTTTCAAATTTTGGTTAAATTTTGGTTAGTTATCATACAACTTACCATTTTAAAGATTTGAAACCTAGATCCCATTAAAAAAATATTTTGACTCTTCCTAGTTATGAAAAACAATATTTAGAGCTTTAATTCTAACAAGTGCATGCATAAGGAAGAAAGTAACAGAGGGAAAGAAAATACACTAAGCAATTTAATCTATTATTTTTCAACCAAGTGTTTTTGTGATACTAGTACATAAGTGAATCGGTCATTTGTCATTAGACCATAGACTGATTAGGATTCTGCATATTTTCATAGTCTTCAGCATAGTGTTGATACTGATCAGTGAGAAGAGGCTGATTTGTTTCATCCATGTTGCTTCTGGAACGAATGAGGCAAGAAGCACCTGCGAAAATGACTGCAACCAGTAATAAAGCAGCAACTACTGCTATGGTAACAATTTCAGAAATATTAAGATTCCGACCTATTGGAAAAAAAAAAGGAGAATAAAAAATAAACAGTAAAATAGTTGCTTCCCAAAAATCAGACACCCTAAACTTAGACACTGTTGCAGGCATTTTACCACATTCTTCATATATAATTTTTACTGGCCACATTGCTGATAATAGCACCTGTTATCCTGAAGGCACTTCCCAATTTCTCATAATAAATGGACCCTCCTGGAATAGTTATTATTAATTCCATTCTAAAGTTGAGACAATGATGCTGTAGGGTTTGAACCACTTGGGTCACTTGGTTAGGAGGCACTAGAGTTGGTTTTAGAGCCCAAGTCTTTCAGAATTTACATGCTGTGTGCTCTTCCACCCTACTGCCTTTGTTGGGAAGGGATTGGAAATTAAACAAGAAACTTTTCAATTTCAGAATCTCAGAAAAAGCAGTGAGCAGTATCTCACTCGATTTTTTTTTTCCAGAATAAAGATAAGGAGGCACAATTATGTAGTAGAATAAATTGGGGTATATTACACAGGTCTAAGCTCAAAATTAATTCTCCCTGCCTACTAAAAATGTGATCTTTGACATTTATCCTTTCTAAACTAATCATGGCCAGCCCCTTCTTCCTTACTTGTAAAATGAGGATTACAATACTTATCTCAGAGGGTTATAGGGATTAAGTGCGATAGTGTGCTATATAATCAACTTAATTCCCGGTCAGAGTAGGCTCTCAACAAATGTTAAATTTAGTCTCTTTATCCCAAAATAAAAATCCAAATAACACCTTCTAAATCTAAGTGGAAAATATAGGCCACAGAACACTGTGATTACCTTAAAAGGCAACAAATTTGCTTTTGGAAATTTCCACAGTAGTTACATTTTCAATACTCACTTGGCCATTGAACTTCATAAGTATATCCCAAATTGTCTGAAGCAGTAACAAACATTTCTATATTGGTAACTGGGGGCCAGAATGGTACCATGTTGTATTGTCTATTGTGCCCAATAGGGGCATTTTCCAGTGGAAATGTGGATACATCTAAAATATGCCAAAGACATCTTGTTATTAGACATAATAAAGTTAGTATTAATAAATTATTATTATGTTCTGAAGGTGACCTGAAATATTCTAGGATAACATAAAAATTTCTTTTATAATTTATACTGAAAAAGACATAAAAATAGTTTCACTACAGCAGAACAGGGAATTGCATAAAACCGAGTTCAAACGCTTTGAATACAGCACTAGCATATCATTCAGTAGATCAAGAAAGTTTAAAAGCAGGGAAGTTTTAATATTTTCTCATCTATGATGATCATTAATTATTTTATTTTTAAATTACAAAAGCTTATTTGAAAAAATTCATTGAAGTTATTTTTCAAAGCTTAAAAAAGATGGACCTGTAGTTTGCGGTAGCTTCATCTAAAATTTAAATTTGAGAGTTACTGTATATAATGGAAGTTTGTCCTTGAATATAAATATATCTGTTTGGTATTCTTTACTTTTTCTATTTATCTTCAGAGATATAAATATTAACTTATCTCCAGATACTCTGTTAGAAAAAACACTTAAAAGTTTAAATCAAGTTCCTGAAATATTATTTACCTCCTGCCTCCTCTCCTCTTTCTACTTAAATGCAAATTACAGACATTTATATTATTAGTGAGTTTCTGTCATCAGGGATAAAAAGAGTGATATGCTCTTTGTGGCAAAAGATTATTCTTTTTTGTTATTGTTGTTCTGCTTTTTTGTCAATACAACTAAACCAGTTGGGATATGTCAAGACCAGAGTTGGAAATGGGCTTGGGCAGGACATGAGTGGGAATATATTTAGAAGAGCTGGGATATGTGAGAAGGCTAATGGATTATTAGATTTTCTGTTTGCAAGAAATATATTACCTAAATAGTCACTGTGATCCTAGGAAGCTCAGAAGAGTGTTTTAGCATCTACTTTGAAAAAACATTTTTGATCATTAAAATGGTATGCAGTGTTCATATTTTTGTGACTTTTAATTTACTATGTATTAATGCTAATTAAATATTTATCTATTCAAATCCGTTGAGCTCTTACCAATGCCGGACACTGGTCTAGCCATGGAGGTGATGACACTGAACAAAACAGATAAAATGCCTGGCTTCAAGGAGCTCACATTTTGGTGTACTATTGTTAATTATTTATTAAAGTTAGATATTAAAGTTAATAATTTAGATAATTTTTTAACTTTTCATTTCACCTTTCTACTAGATCCTGACTTGGTCAGTCTCAACCCAGTTCAGCATCAGCTATGTGATAAAGTTATACCCACTAAAATGAGTGGAATAAACAGTAACAGCAGAATTGTCATGAAACTTTCCTATGCAAGACCCTTCAGGGGCTCCCCATCCTAGAAGTACATCTAATATCCCTCAAAATCTCTACCTGTTGTCCCTCTGACCTTATTTCCCATCATTTTCCCTCCACTCTCCAGTCAGAGTGGGCTCCTTTGCTCACCTAGGGATGATCTTCCCCCATGTATTTACCTCATACCCCCTAAACGCTTTCCTGATTTTCTTTGCTTGAAAAGACTTTCCCCCATCTAACATACTATATATTTACTTACATATTTTTACTGTCATTTCTACTAACAACTAGGAGGGTCCCAGGAGGGAAACTATTTTGTGTGTTTTGAATGCTACTGTATTTCTGGTATCCAGAAGACAATGTAGGGGAATAGTAGGTGCTCATAGTATTTTTTCCAGCTTTTCTGAGGTCCACCTGACCAAAAAATTGTATATATTTAAGATGTATGACATGATGATTTACAAATGGGCAACAGGTATGTGAAAAGGTATTGAATATCACTAATCATCAGAAAATGCAGATTAGGACTGTAATGAGAGATCACATATCTTAGGATGGCGATTATCAAAAAGAAAAGAGATAGCAAGTGTTGGCAAGAGTGTGGAGAAATGAGAGCCGTTGCACACTATTGGTGGGAATTGGTGCAGCTACTATGGAAACAGAATGGAAGTTCCTCAAAATATAAAAATAGAACCACCATATGATCCAGCAATGTCACTTTGGGGGTATATCTAAAAGATGTGAAATTAGTATCTCAAAGAGATGTCTGCATCCGGGTTTATTGTAGCATTATTCACAATAACCAGGATATGGAATCAAATAATATATGTGAAAGGATTTGAGTGTGTGTGTAATTACTTCATTTCTTTCAGGGCATAATAGTAGTGATTGGTCTAGGAAATATATAAACTGCTTCTTCTGAAAAATTCACTGAACTTCTGGAGAACTATATTTAAACTTAATTCACACGATTCTCATTTGAAAAAAAAAAAAAAGATTTGAAGTAAATGTGCACATAGATAAAAAATGTTAGTGAATAAAAATTAGTATTAGTTTGGATGTTCTATATTGTTCTACCTCATGTCTAATGAAAGGATTCTGTAATAGACTTTTCCCTGTAAATGACTATAATTCCCTTCAGCTGTAAAATGTAACTCTTATTCCATTCTGATCCTAATAATTTTATAATCTTACGATTTTGAAGAGTTCTCATTATCTATAAAAGCTGTTTAATACATTTTGAAAATATAATTCCATCCTCCACTCATAAACTTATTTTCAACAAAGACTTCTATTATATGGATAATTTTAGAAATTTTTCCCATCGTTTTATTTTTTCTTTAACATAGTTGTTCTATGACACTTTTTTTCAAGGGACATTTGCAGGTGCATGGAATATTTAAGTGGGTAGTTAACTGTTAGTGTTTAGTGTTCATGCAATTTATTAGTGTTTACATTGGCTTGTCCTATAATTTTATGGCCGTATTTTGTCAGAATAGGCTTCAGGTTCCCTATTTTTCATTTACAGTGCTTTTCCCTCCATTACTCTCCAGGTAACTGAGAGATCTTATGCTATTTATAGCATACACAAAGGGAGCAGGAAGAAATTAGCTAAGAAGCAAAGGTGTTTATCTGGTTCATCAATGACCTTTAATGGATTGTTATGAATGTGAAATAATGATCTTTTCAATCAAGATAAGGAAGGCAAAGGAACATTTGTTTTCATGGATGAAAGAAAGCTCCCCTTAAGAGACTTGCCAGAGTAACCAAGATTCTCCACTTCTTCTGACTTCTTAAGTAAGTGTTAAGTAAGAAAAACTTACAAACAGTCCATTTTGAATGGCTGCGTAAGTGCAGTTTGTATATCATTGTCTAGTTCCCAGAAGTGTATATTTAATGAAAGTTTTTGTTCATTCCTAAACCTATTAACTCCCATTTACTTGTTATTGTCCTAAAAGTAATACAGCTAAGCATACATAAAATGATAATTATGACTGTGAAAAGAGAAGGATGTTGTGTTATATTAAATATATGATTGCTTAGGAAAGATTTGTTGAAGAGATATTAGGTAAGATTTAGGAGTGAGCACTATGGTTGTAAAGATAAGGTAGGCATTATGAAAATCTACAATAATACTGCATTCATTGCATCTCAAGGGTTGTTAATGTCTTGTTTCACTTAAAAAATAGACATTGTAAATTCTAGGTAATTCATTATGTTTGTAGGTATGTATGTAAATACATGTGAAATAAGGTGGCACTCCAACCAGTGAATTCATAGCAGGTTGATGAGTGAATATTTACATATAAGTTATTTGATTCTTCAGGGATTTTCTGATGGAACATACGATTTTGATCAATACATTAGTTAATGCTCCTAATCAGGTTGGATTAGAAGTTTCTGGTGTATAAACAGACACACACACACACACACACACACAGAAATAAGAGACTGGCCAAATTGGATAGATAAATCAATAGTTAATCCCCAACATTATGTTTATGTGTGTGATGAAGTAAAGGCACAGAAGCAAAAATTTAGAACAGTTTTGAAATATGAAAATGCATGACGTTTTAACTGATAGAAGCACTTTTGTTATTTGAAAAGTAATGTGAGCCTCTCAGCTGAGTAGAACTGAAGGGAAAATGGCCTTTTAAATAATATTTTTAAAAAATGCATTAAAATGAGGTTGAAAGAGATTATCTATGCAGTGATAAAAAGCCAACATTAACTTTTCAAGTTGAATAAAATTTCCATTTGTAAGAGGCCAAAAGTAATAAAAATCAAAACTGTGGATTGTGAGTATAATTTTTTTGTCTTTTGGGTATTGAGGAAGAGCTCAGTAGGATTTTTTTATTCACAATGAGAACGTTCCAAAAAAAAAAAAAAAAAAAAGAAAAGAAAAAGAAAAAGTAAAAGGCAATGCCAACGTTCATTGGAAGATACGGGGAAGAAAAAATTGAGGAGTATGATAGTCATCTTTTCATACAAAATGGGAAGGAATTATGTGCTTAGTCTGAGTGAATGCTAATAAATATCTTATAACCGTTGTAAGAGATGTTTCATCTGCATTTTCAAAGTAGTTTGGGATATTTGGAAACGTCTAGATATCACAGCTATTTTATCCTTATTTTGAAGTGTAGTTCAGATGTGTCGAGAGCTTACTCTATAGAGATAACTCTATCACCTAAGCAGGGTCCTTGCTGAGCCTGCAAAAAAGCGTATGAAAACATCTCACCAGCATTATATCTCCTCATCCATTCATCAAAGACTGCATCAGTGAAAGTATGTAGGAGGACAAAAATAGGATCATTTGGAGATAAATGGGTTTGTCCCCCTGTTCCATTCAGAAACAGATGAGCCAGATTGTGAAGGCTTCGAATAGCAGGGTCATATTTTCCTGTGGGATCACTGTAACCTAGATAAAAAAACATGGGTGAGACTAGTAAAAGCCATCGCAAACATCTTACTTTCCAAATCAGCGGCAGTGATTAAATTGGGAAACAATTTTTCCTAAGCTTCTCAGGCCAATTTTTACTTTACTGTAATAGCACCGCTTCTCTGTACCTATGATTGGTGTCATTTCCTGCTCTACCCAGAGCTTGGTTAGCTTTAAACTAGTGGCCTGATTTGCTAAATGTAGCCTCTAGGTTAAAAATAATGGCCTGCAAAGGATACCAGTCAAAATATATAGAACACACTATTTTGACAAAGCAAACATTGGTCTAGTGGAAATAAAGACAATGGGAATCTCCAGCTTCTTCTAAAAACTGCTGGCACGATTGGGAGAACATCCCTCTGATTGTCCTAGAACTTACATTGCCAGATGTTACTTTAGTTTCCTGCCTTATTCCTTTTGACTGTCAGCATATTTATTTTTGGAAAGTTATCTTATTTTTGTAGAAAAGTCACAATTTCTCAGAACGTTCTTATCATGTCTGTACTAGTTTTAAACATCTGGACAGCCTGTTGGTTGAAATATTTCTAGGACTTTTGATAATTATCTGTATTCTACATATATATTTCCCATATTCTATATGATATATATATGCTATTCCCATATAATATGTACATTTCCTGTACTACATGTATTATATATATTTCTCATGTTATATATCCTCATATTATATATGTATTTTCCATACATATTTTCATACATATATATATATATGCATATATATGTATAAATGGCAAAAGGTGAGGAAAGATCACAAACAAAAATGGAGGGTCTATGATGTGGGATGGAGTAAGAATCAGAGGTTGGGACAGCAGGGAAAAGTTACATACTATAAAATAAAATTAGAATTTAAAATACATTAACCCATTTGTATAATTACACTCATTTATTTAGCCATGTTTCATACTTTTATCCCATTATTGTTTTTTATTTATAAAATATTTAAAGATTGCCTGTAACATAATGGGCATGTTGGTAGGGGCTGGTCCTTTTCATATGTTCTGTCAGGACATCAGAGCAATTTATCTTTTGACTGAGCTTCAGTAAGATGCAATCTACACATTCTTTTAAAAATTAGTGCTTATGGCCTTAGTTTATATATACCAGTTTAGTCAAAATATAGCGATGATATATTGAATAATCTACAAAATCAGTGCATTCATATTTAATTATTAAAATTAACATGAAGATAGAAGAGAATGGCATACACTTTTGATGATAAAAGGAGAGAGAATGAAAATAATGATGAGATTTATGTTTCAAGTATCTCAGATCATGGGGCCAGAGAGATCTATTCCCATTCTTTTTCAGAGGGAGGAGTCTAATATGTTTAATGCTACATATAATGTGAATTTTGACAGTAAGAGATTTTTAATACTTAAATGTGATTCTGTTGTTTTAAAACTTTAAATATGTTTCAATAATGATTTACCGATATCAAAATTCATCATATAAAGACACTGGACTTAGAAAATTTGGATTTGAAATTGTGCTCTGTTACTGAGTATCTTGGGGGATATTCACTGTAGCTCTTTGGTCTTTAGTTTCCTCAGCTTTAAAATGCTTGAATTAAATAGGGAAAATCAAAGTAAATATCATTACATGGTAATTTGAATATTTTTAGACCTTTTAGAAAAGTTACAGGATGTTATAAACTTAAATAAAATGAATGCCCCAACCAGGCTTTATTGGCTGTCAACTAATTGTTTAGAACTTTTTATTGTTATTTTTTAAGAAAAAATTTTAATAAGCTCTCGAAGTCTTGAATATTATTTGACTCTACTAGAATTTGATATAGTTATACACTTATTGATCAGCCACCTAACAGATTTGTTTAAATACATTTTAGGTATTTAAGAGATTGAAGAACAATTTCCAAGGGCTTCTCCTATGATAATTAAAAAGAGTTTCATGGTCTGACACTTTTCTTTAACAAGTTCTTTCTTGAGCAAAGAACTGTGACTGCATCATAATTGGAAGAAACATTCCTGTAAATTCACAGGATCAATGCAGCTTTCGAAGATTTTTCAAAAAGATCTGAACGTGAACAGTTCAGTTTACGTGATAACCAGATGAATTCAAAACACTGATTTCTTTTACTTACCTTCCACTGTGTTTCGGAAACTGTTTGTAGAATTGGAATAAAAAGGAGGGGTGTCGAATAAACCAACTTCCAAGCACTGAGCGACATCCTGTGGTTCAGGAAGACGTTGCACCATTGGTCTAGCCACATTTCCAGCTGGATTTCTCCTAATTGGTCCACCCTCGGTACCTGGAAAAAGGATGGACTATGTAAACATTTATAGAATATTTAGAGATCTTATCTTTGCTCTTTAATTTTTATTAATAGCAAGAACATGGAAAGATAAGTTCTCCTTGGTAGAAGAGAAAATTTTTTAAAAATGCTTACTTAGGAGCATTACAGTGAAAAAAATCTAAGTTATCATGGCCACTTCTGTGAACAGAATTAGATATGCGATCCATAAAATCAATAGAAGATTTTAAAATAGATATGTGATCTATAAAATCAATGGAATCTATAAAATCACAAATAGGTAGAGGTTCTGATATTTTTAATCGATGTATGCTTCTGTAGTGAGAATATTCTAACATAAAAATTCCTTGGAAAATTGAATTTTACCAAAATCTCATAAACCTAAATTCCACGGTGAAATCTGTATTTCACATATATGTGAAATTCTGTACTCAAGTGTTATTTGTTTCAAGCCTTCAGAGAAATAAAGAAAAACAATCCAAAATCTCTTTGGGACATGGTCTGTACTTCAATCAATTCATGTTTTACAGCAATTGATGTGAGAAATAATTAGACTTTTTAAAAGGCAGTAAGACAAACAGGAAACAAAGAGCTGTGATACTTGGGGTAATAGGATAGGTGCCTTAAGGGAGGGAGAAAGTGAGGGAAAGAGGCAGACTGGAAGGTAGAGAAAGGAGACAGAGAGAGAGACAGAGAGGGAGACAGAGAGACAGAGACAAAGAGACAGAGACTGAGAGAGAGTATCAATCTTTTCTAGTTGAATGACTCCAGAAGGGTGTCATTAGAGGGGAGAGATTTGTAAAGAGCTCTGAAGGACTGAGGAGAATTTTCAGGTGAAACAGGAGAAATGTTACAAGTCAGACATTTTAGGCAGAGGTAATAACGACAGATGATAAGCTTTCTCCTGTCTATAAGATATGTTCTGTCAGAGCAAGAATGCTCTCTGTACTCACTCACCAGCACACCCCTTAATCTTGGTATAGTGTCTGGCATGTAACAGATGCTAAATCACCGTTTGGTGTATGCTGATGTATGGAAAGATCATGTCAGCTATAAAAGAGGGCCTGTGTGGGAAATAACTTGCCTTGAGCACAGGGTGATGTATGAGAGTAGTGGACGGGGAGAACAATGAAAAGCTAGACCAGAACCATACGTGAAGAAATAAAGAGCAATAGGATAAACTTATATTTAATTCAATAAGAAGTGAAGAGAAATCGTAGGTAGTTGGGAGGAAAGGAGATTGGTTAGGAGCCTTTTGCATTTGTCTGTTCAGTGGTCCCCAGAGGAATGTGTGTGTCCTACTAGTATATGCAGAATAATCTGCATTTATGGGATGGGAGAGGTGATCTTACAACTGCAACTTGTATACATTTTACCTCATTCATAAAGCTTACTATGTTGTAATGTTTATAACTGACCTAACGGTTAATACCTGATGAATTAGCATAGCAAATTTATTTATATAATATAAAAATTAAACATATGACAATATTGAGATTAGAAAGTAGATGTACATTTTTTTAGGTATACATTATTATTAGAAGTTTCAGATACCACTGGCTAATCTATCAATTCAAGTTTATATTTTAGGGATTATTGTTCAGGAGCTGTCAATAAATTCCAAGAAAAAATAATAAATCCCGTGGGTTTTGAAAACACTACATTTCTAATTTTGCCCTCATGGAGTTTCATAGTGGAGAATTCAGATAGTAAAGAAACTAGCTTAAACCAGTTTAATTTAACCCAAGGGTATTAGGTTTGGACCAAATAGGCATGGACAACCTCTGCCTAAAATGCACCTAAAAACATTGTACAGATTGGAGTCTTGTGGAGTTTTCATGCAGGAAGGAATAAAAAGTTCTGAGTGTGTGAAGGAGAAAGTAGATGGAGGAAATACTGTCTAGAAACAACAGTAGTTTTCATGTGATGAATCAAACATTATATTTTACTGGTTAGAAGAGGCTTAGGTGTCCCTAATCATTCTTTCAAAGTACCAAGTTTGGCGCATTAATGGAACCTTGGAGAGACGTGGTGCAGCAAGCCCATGAAAGCACAGGCATGTGATATGTCTATGCATGGCTGTCCTGTAAAACACGATAAAAAAACCCACAGGAATGGATCATTTCATCCAAGAATAGTAAAGAAAGGAAAGAATCTCTAGGAGAATTGTTTTTTAAAAGATTTTATTTATTAGAGAGAGTGAGAGAGAGCATGTAAGCACAAGCAGCGGGGAGGGGCAAAAGGGACAGAGAGAAGCCGGCTCCCTGCTGAGCGGGGAGCCAGACTTAGGGCTTGATGGATCCCATGACCCTGGGATCATGACCTGAGCAGAAGACAGAGGCTTGACCAACTGAGCCTCCCAGGTGCCCCTCTCTAGGAGAATTAAATACAGTATCATATTAAAGCATTTGGCACCATATCAGTTGCATAGCATGTGTTGAATCAACTATTAGTTTCCTTTTATCTTTCACTGGCCTAATAAATAAAATGCTTGGCATTTATATTTTGAACTAAGACAAGGAGTAATCTTCAAATTTGTTTCATTTAAAATACATAATCTTCAATTTTTCATGAAACTTTGTGTCCTGTTATGAGACTTAGACTAATTGACTAAGAGACTGTGACCAAGGGACTTCTCTCCTATTTCCCCATTTAAACTATGCTACATTTTGGTATCCAATTATCTGTATCATCCGAAAATGTCTGGAAAAAAAATCCCAGGCCAAAATACAATAGCCTGCTCAAAAATTAATGTTTTGGTATCTAAAGATATATTGATTCTCAATTGTATTTCAAGGTGGGGTTACTCATTCAGCATGCCAAACAAATAAAATTTTTACTCTAAGGTTTAAGCTTCTACAGAAAAAAAAAAAATTAATATACTGTCACTTCCCTCTTCTTTTATTCCTATACACAGCTAAATAATTTTCTAATGGTGAAAAAAATCTACTGAATTTTTTTGTTCTATTTAGAATATTCTTTTTAAGAATATCCTTTTTTACATTTATAAAGGAATTTAATATTTTAAACTTAAAAGAATGTACATAAAATGTGCTATGAAGATAGTAATAAAATAAATTCCTGAAATCTAGTTTTTACATGGAAGAACAAGCTTAAAATAACTGAGCATGCCTGAAGAAGAAAAATAACACAGGGTAGGGAGACTCTAATAATTAAGACCTTGTGTTAGTACCACAGAGACTAATAATGTGATCCAAGGAAGAGAATGGTATACTCAGGAACACATTCACATATCAGAGAAACTTGGCCTAAGGCAGAAGTGGCATTTAAATCACTGGAGAAAGGATGCTAGCTAGGACAGCTGGTTAAGCATTCTCTTTATGTGTTTGCTTTGAGAGAGATGGAAAGTGATTGGCTGGCAGATCTTTTCTGTGCAGTATCTTCCTTTCCTTTTCTTTTTAAAAAAGACTTATTTATTAGTTTTCTTTACTTGAGAGAGAGAGAGAGAGAGAGAGCAGGGGGAAAGGCAGAGAGAGAATCTCAAGCATGCACTCTGCTGAGCACGGAGCCGGATACCTGGCTCCATCCCAGAGCCCTGAGATCATGACCTGAGGCAAAACCAAGACTCTTGACACTTAACCAACTGAGCCATCCAGGTGCCCCAGTATCTTCCTTTATTTAAGGATATCCTTCATATCACCTTTTGTTTTGACCCTTTGACTAGAATTTTACTCTTTGGGCTCTTCAACTGTTTCTGCACATTGCAAAGATTTCTCAGGGAAACAATTTTCTGTGAAAGTCCAGCAGAAGACACATGACTCCTGAGCAGTGCTGAGTGTGCTAAGAGGATGAATTTTATATAACCATACATTTCCAAAATAAGACAGTGAACATTTACGAAATAAGAGAGTGAGCAATGCACTAACCAAATTGCTTAAGAAAAGCCATATCAAAATGTTTAGTCTCCCCTGGAACCTTTGAGATTGCCTTGAATAGCCCCAGTGTTCAAGGAATATATCTGTACATGGATTCTCTATATAGTAAAAGTAGATATTACTCTGAAGTCCTTAGTAGAATGAAGGGCAACACAGTTAATCTCTTTATCTAAAAGGGAATTCTGAACCCTGGATGTCATTTAGAACTTACTATTACAAAGAGTTCCCAGGGTATCATAATCCTCCAAGGATTCACAGACCACTCGCCATTGAGAAAAGACCGAATTCAGGCTGATCAGAGTGGGATCAAAGTTGCTTCTGGATCCCATCAGGTCATCGGTGCAAATGTCACAGATGTTCTTCCCAGTTGCAAAATTCCAGTAGGGAAGGGAGAACGAAGGATCCTGCAACATTTCCTAGATCACAGAAACTTTTATTAGTATTCTCTGCTTTTGTTTACAATTCTCCCTCTTTGCTTGGTTTTCTCCCCAGCGGTGTGTTTCTATCAGCTCTCTTTGGGCAATTAGAACCAGTGAGAGTATCAGTGGTGTCTGAGGGGCCAGAGGAATTAAACACCTTATTTAACAAGGCTTCTGATATACTACATGAAGTCATTCAGCATACAGAAGTTTCTGCAAATGATTTTTTTCTGGGTGGGGGGGGATTCTTCCCTTTCTTTTTTAAGCAGGTAATCACATTTCTATTGGTTATACCAAAAAGTACCAATAATAACTTTCACCCTTTGACACTTTACCTCCTTCTGTTTTTATATCTTGAATTCAAGCCTCACTAAGTCTGGGTCTGGAGCCAGATCCAGCCTTTAAATATGTAGAGCAGTACTTTTTGTTTTGTTTCTGTCTTTTTAAAATTTAACTTAAACGACTTCAGGCATTTAGAGTCTGACCTTTAAAATGTTTTGTGGGTTAGCAAGGGCAGTGGGAGAAGCCTATGGATCAGAGAGACGAAGACCTCAATGGTACAATCCAGGTTTTCCAAGCCCCAGACACAAGGATTTGACTTTTCACAGGTTACATAGTCTTTCACACTTACCTTACCTGCCTGGCACTGAAGGTGTTTTACTTAAAGACCCCTGCTTCAGAATCTAAACTGTTAAGACTTGGGTTTCTGCTCGAAACTAATACTGTCAGGAAATACTGAACAGAAGCAAAATACTTCTTTGTGCATACTGTTCTTTAAACCAGGGTCCAAGTTTCCCTTCCGAGCTGACTCAACAATTCTTAAATGTACTGGACTCAAGATCACATGCTTCTTTTATTGAGTTCCCTAAAACATGCATTTATTGTACTTGTTCTCATTCCCCTTAGGCCTTTGGGGAGTATATTTAAAGCATGGGATTGAGATGGAGAGCCTGCCGTTGTTTTATCTCACCTCCAAAGCATTTAGTACTTTTCTGCCTTTTTACTTTAAACCCTTCCCAGGAAGTATTTCCATGCCCTCGGGGTGTTTTAGAGGACCCAAAGCTTTCCAAGGAGTCCTCAGTTATTGATCTCCAGGGGTTGAGAGCCCTTGTTTAGAAGCCATTGTTCTGGTTCACAAAAATTAGTGGCAGCTTCCAAGGGATCAATAAGAGTCAGTTTGTGGTTCAGAGCTGACATTTGGGAGCTGGAGCATATTCATGTGGCATTTCAACTGTGCATTACATTTAGATTGTAATTTGTTGGATCCCTTGTGCTGTTGGGTTTTAAAATGGTAAGCCATAGAGGTTGAAGTTTACACAGGCAAAAATCGAAGCATTTAGATACTTTCCACCTGCCCTTTCATTTTGGTGTGCCCATGGGAAAACGACTTAAAGGCACAGAGATCTGGAGCTGATTACAAATGACAGATTTATCTACTCGTCATGTACTAAATGTCTTACTTGTAATCGGAACTATAAAATATGAAGTTTGGAGTATCAGATGAATTAATTTAATCACTCTCAAACTGCGTATGTTTGGACTGCTTTCATACCAATATTTTATTCTGTATTCCAACCATTTACTTTGTGATAATGCTGACAGCAGGCATACTACAAATCAATAGGTGAATCTAAACACCTTTTCTGCCCTCAGATATTTTCAGATTAATTTTCAGATTTTAATTTGAGGGAAAGAATTCATTTCATTTAGAGAACGGGTTCACTCTGTGGATTTCCTTGTTGAGATATAATAATTTAAAATGTCACTTGAAAATTCCAACACTTCTCTCAAGAAAAAGCAATTGGCAAAAGAAACTATGATAATAAAGATATCTGTGTTAACGGATCCTTTAATGTGGCTAGAGCTTCTCTGCTTAAAAATAAGCAGGAAATACTTATGTTTGGGTTGAGGTTCACTTTATGCTCCCCAGAGAGTTAATGCTATTTAAGGAAAAATGCTGTCTGATTGATAGGATATTTTATTAGGTTTCTTCCACAGGCCTTGAGGTGTCAGGGGTCATGGAAACAAAATGGCACTCAATGAAAATATGACTCTATAAATGTAAAAGATATTTTCCATAATTTAAACCCTGTACTGTATTAGAATCATCAGCTGGCATAATGGGGGATGTATTTGGGACTTGGTAGCCTCAGAAGTGTATGCACACTTGTTTTCATCCAAACCTGGAGGAGGGAGTATTCGTTCATATTCAAGAAGGAAGACATAGCAAATGAGATTCTTTTGTTGCAAGCCATATGAAGATCATTTTTTCAATTACAGAGCTATAGACTATGTCCAACACTTTAAATCACACCTACAAATGTCCCAACTGGCTCCCTCATCATTGATAGTACCATCTTTTCACAAACCCTTCACAAAAGACAAAGATTAATTAGTGAGTAAGTAATCAGTAGAGGGAGAAACTTCACGAATGTCAGAGGCAGATTAATCACATGTTTAGATCATTAAGAACACAGTGAGTTAAGATGACTTACAAACTGGACCTGAGAACAGAAATGTTCCCTACATACCTGCAGGTCTCTTTCCAGCTGCAGGAGATGGTACCGGTGCCACGTGAGGAAAGCTGGTCCTTCATGAGAGAAATCCACTTCACCAAAGCTTTCCCGTCCTGGCCCGAGGAAAGTCTTTTTGACTGAGTAATAGTGTGTCCAAACAAAGTAGTTATAAATGGAAATGTTTTCAAATTGTGGCGTGTTGCCATCTGGCCCCAGTATTTCTTCTGATCTCCTGGTCGCAATGACAAATTGAGGGTGAATTGTGCGCTTTGCCATGTCTAAGGCCTGGATGAAGTGGTTCTTTTCTTCTGCACTTAAGTCCAGAAGGTTTCTCCTGACTTCAAGGATACAAAATTCAACCATGAAAGCATCTGCCTCGTGAACCATAATCATAACGCCGTGTCCCATTTACCCATAAACGATAATCTGCATTAATGTTTAAATCATTTTATACTTTTTAAAAATACCTCTTACTAAAACGCCTTCTTTAGGCCTGTTTTCATCCCCCACCCCTTACCCTAGGATTTCTGTTAGCTTTCTTTAATCTGACTGTGGACTTCATGATTCTGTGATCTTGTAATTAGTTCTGCTTACCATTGCTATATTTTGGGAACTTTCTACATTCTTAAAATCATAAACCTTGCAAAAACATGATATAGTGGTTAAGGCCAGAGACTCATTCTGTGACTCTGCACTCATCTTTCTAAGTCTCAGTTTTTCATCTGTCAGGTGTATATAAAAACATTATCTGCTTTACAGAATTGTAAAGATTAAAGAGTACACACATAAAATTATATCAGAGCCTGGCTAATAAAGACTCAATAAAACTCTTGTTAGACCCTTTGGTCCAATGTTTGGCACATAGAAAACAAGAAAGTATTTCTGGTTTTACTCTTCAGAACTTTGCTATTTATTGCTATTTAATAGGGCACTGGTGAGGTTCGTCATCTAAAATGGCTGAACTTGACCATAACAGTGGGCAGTTTCGTTGTGTGTTAGCAAGGGCAGTGGAAGAAGCTCATGGTTTAGAGCTAGACTGATCTCGGGGTGAATTCCAGGGTTTCCAAGTCCCAGCTATATGGATTAGACCTTTCTGAACCTCGGTTATGACCATTAACATAACTATCTTGATAAATTACAAAAAGGTCTAGTCATGGGGCGCCTGGGTGGCTCAGTGGGTTAAGGCTCTGCCTTCGGCTCAGGTCATGATCTCAGGGTCCGGGGATCAAGCCCCACATTGGATTCTCTGCTCAGCAGGGAGCCTGCTTCCCTCTCCCACTCTGCCTGCCTCTCTCTCTACTTGTGATCTCTCTCTTTCTCTGTCAAATAAATAAATAAAATCTATAAAAAAAAAAAAGTTCTAGTCGTAAACACCTAGCACAGTTCCTTGAGTAGCATGGATGCCCAGTAAGTGTTTTATTTTATTTTTTTTTAAAGATTTTATTTATTTATTTGACAGACAGAGATCACAAGTAGGCAAAGAGGCAGGCAGAGAGAGAGAGGAGGAAGCAGGCTCCCCGCGGAGCAGAGAGCCCGATGTGGGGCTCGATCCCCAGCACGCTGGGATCATGACCTGAGCCGAAGGCAGAGGCCTCAACCCACTGAGCCACCCAGGCGCCCCCAGTAAGTGTTTTAGAAGAAAATCGCATAACTCACATCTGAGCCTTGACTCTTTAAACTGCATAAACTTATTATCCTCTCCAAGCCTCATCTCCCTCAACCGAATTATAGGATTTCCAGGTATTCTTCCAGCTCCAGTGATTTAGGTTTCTGTTAAATGCATTGAGTCTCAGGAAGAACTGTGTCTCCTTCATTGATATCCCCACTTACCTGTGAGAACCCTCTGGTCACAGGCAACTCCTCTCCAACCAGGACGGCAAGTCCCACAGTTGTGTCCTGAGAAATTGCCATTGCAGCGACATGTCCTGTTGAAGAACCGTGTGGGCCAAGCCTCCCGATCATCTCTGCCATCATGGGGGTAATGAGGGCTGTGGGGCCTGGAGTCTGCGGTCACTGCCTCACACCTGCCCCTTCCTGATGTGGAGCCACAGCTGTCAGTCCCAGGCCCAGACAGCGGGGACAGATTGGGGCAACATACACCATTTCTCAAGGCCTCGACAGTGGCACACTCTCTTGGGAACTGAGCCCAGGTCCAATGAAAAAAAAGCAGGGGCAAGAAGATGCATCCCAGGGAGAGGAGTTTATGAGCTTTCATTCTGCTCTAAACAAGAGCGAAGAACAAATCTCTGGTTTGCAGCCCTTTGTGTGGAGACCGGAGCACATCAATTAAAAAAGGAGCTGAAAAGAAGAAAACAAAATGAAATTGTGCCAGTTCTCTTTCAGGTCTGATATAAACAGGCATGAGCCCTTCCCAACCCCCTTCAAAATACCTTTCATATCTGTAAAATGACATTTCTAGCGAATCATAAAAATACTAATTTACCTTTAGAAACTTGACATGTATAATACCTACATAATTAAATCCCCGCTCTGAGCATTTAGTTTTCTTCATTTTAAATTTCTATTTATTAAAAAAAGAACTCATCATAGATGTCTCTTATCAAAAGCATTCATTAGCAGGTCACAGCCATTAATTACATTTAACCATGAAGCTGGAAGAAGAATTGGAAGCAGATCTTCAGCGAGTTAATTTCCGTGACTTAAAGTCTCCCATCCTAATGGAGATTTGGCGGGAGTCCACCCACTCCCCATAGAGCTTCTCTCCAGTACCTTTCACTCCGGAGGGGATTCTCTGATGAACCCCTCTTAGAGCTGAGTGTTTTATATTGGCTTCTCCCCTGATGTCAGAGCCATTAATTGCGTGTGGGTTTCTGCTTGATTACTAATCCCAAATCTGCTCACTCAAACTGGGAGGGGCTTTGTCCTCTTCCCCACCCTTTACTAATCCCCTTTCACTCCAGTGCGTTTTTCTGCTCTTTAAGTATTTGGTTAGCACATGATTCCCTTCCCACTGATTTCCTTGTGATGTTTAAAGTTTTAAGAAAAGGTCAGAGGCGGTAATTTGGAATAGAAGTCAGAGAAACTAGGGAGCTTTTGTTTGCATTGTAGAGATTTAGTTTTTTTTTCCCCTTTGATTTATATCTTTAGAAAATAAATGAGATTACTTACACTTTCTTAGTGACACAGGGCTAGACTATTATTTCATCTGTTTTTGATTATCTTTGGTCTTGAAAACAGATGCTGCCATTCTTATAATTTCTATGGAGAATAATTGTAGTAGAAAAGTCATCAGAGGGGCGCCTGGGTGGCTCAGTGGGTTAAAGCCTCTGCCTTCGGCTCAGGTCATGATCCCGGAGTCCTGGGATCGAGCCCCGCATCGGGCTCTCTGCTCAGCAGGGAACCTGCTTTCCCTTCCTCTCTCTGCCTGCCTCTCTGCCTACTTGTGATCTCTCTCTGTCAAATAAATAAATAAAATCTAAAAAAAAAAAAAAGAAAGAAAGAAAAGTCATCAGATACAATTACATTAAATCACATGGCAGTGCCTTCCCTGGTGCCTCTGGTGTTGACAACTGGGTACTCCAGCTCCCTTCCCTCCTTTGGGGTAGGGTCCATCTCTGTGGCAGAGCATCCCAGGGACACTGCTACTTCTGTTGTTTAGGAGGTAACCACTGAGTAACTTCTTCTCTCCTGCTTTCTCTGTAAGCAGTCTTAATCCAAGGACACTAATTTTAAATTTTAAAAGTGTGGGAATTTTAGTGGCTTCATACAAACATTAGTCAATATCTCAAGTTTCATATGCACTTGGGGTACATTTAAGGGTGAAAAATAAGGTCTAGAAAATGATATTCAGTAGTCTTTTCGGCTATTTGGATTTTTTAGTCCAACTTCTTACTGGATCAAAGTAGATGATAATTTTTCTCTCTCTAATAAAGGTGGTAGTCATGTACCATTGGTTTCTTAATTTTGACAAAAGAACTGAGGTCATGTATGGTGACATTAGGAGAACACAGTGATTGATATTTGGAAACTCTGTATTATCTGTGTAACTTTTCTGTATATCTAAAATTATTATAAAAATACAATGTTTATTTTAAAAAGCTATTTTAAAAACTAGGTAATCTATTCATATATATTCACATATATATTCATGTGTGCAGATATAAGTATACCACAGTGTGTCACATTATGTCGAAAGAAAAAAAAAATGAAGCTTTGCCCATTACACCTCCTTGTTATGTAATTCCTGCAGTTACCTCAGGGTACCCTGTGTGCAGTGCGATACACGATACGCACAATGCAAGGCATCAGTATCAAATCACATAATATTAATTAAAATTAAATGTAAGAATAAATATAAAATGATGTCCTGGTCTTTTCTTTCTGGACCCCTTTAGGTGATTGTGAGACTCCCATTCTGGAGATCACTACTAAGGGTGATCTCATGCAGTCACATGGAATTTATCTATGGACTGCTGAATCCCAAGTTAGGAGCTCTAATAACACTCGCTCCCCACTCGTACATATCTAACTGCCTGCTCACTAAATCCACTTTGATGCCCAAGAGATTCATCAGACACTTATAAAATGTGTTCTTCTATCTTTCCCATCTCAGTAAGTGGAATCATTGTTCATCCTGTTGCTTTGGGGGAAAAAAAAACCCAACACACAGAAGTCATTTTGTTTTGTTTTTCTTCTCTGTTTCATGCAAACTACATTCATTAGTTGAACTAACAGAGTCTAAGTTGAAGCCATCATTAGCTCTTTCCTGCCCTGCGGCAACTAATTTATCTCCTTACCTTCCATGCTTAACCACACAGAAGTGTTTTCTCCATACAAGATGTTATTCTCCACTTAGCAGCCTGAGAGATCTTTATTGCTAATACCTGATGACCACTGCTCTCAATAAAACCCTTCAGTGGCTTCTAAACACACATAGAATAAAACCCAAATGCTTACAGAAGTCTACGTGATCTGGCCCCTCCTATCTCTGACAACCTCTTTCCATCCTCCCTGTTCCGTCTTTGTTCAATTGCAAGCTGATTACCCGCTCTGCCATGGCCCTAGGTCTATGTATGACTCTCTGTGTCACTTCATTCAGGTCTCTGTTCCAATGTTACTTCTTCAGAGAGGCCTTGCCTGACAATCCCGCATGCTAGTTCCTAACCTCATGGTTCATCACTTCCTTTTAAAGACTTAGTCTTCGTAGTACCAAACACTTCCTGTAATTTTTATTACATAGTATATTTTCATTGTTTCTCTCACTCATCAGAGAGAAATTTTTTGTCTTTCTTTTTCAGTATTGACCTGAGAGATCTTTAGAGAACCATGTACCATATAGTCCTTTTTTTTTTTAAGTGAAGAAGGGCTAGACATCTGATTTATTTACTCCCAGCCTAGTGATTAATCCGTATTCCCATTTAAAGGAATAGATATAACTTATCTCCAGTAATATTTCCTTTTTTCCTCCAGGAAATAAGTAAGTATTTATTAGTTACTATTTTAAAAGATTTTATTTATTTATTTGAGAGAGAGAGAGAGAGAGAACACAAGTGGGGAGGAAAGGGAGAAGCAGGCTCCCTGCTGAGCAGGGATCCAGGCAACTCGGTCTCTATCCCGGGACCCTGGGATCATGACCTGAGCTGAAGGCAGATGTTTACCTGACTGGGCCACCCAGACTCCCCTTTATCTCTTACTATTAATACACATCTATTACTTCCTAAATGTGTTACATACACCATTATATGTTATACATTACATACATTATATGTCATAGATTAAATGTTATACAGACATATATCATTCTTTAAAAATATTATTAAACTCTTACTTTTATTCCTGTTTTGCAGATAAAGACACAGAGACTTCTGGAGATTAAAAATTCTTTAAAAATCAAGTAGTTTGTAAGTGGCAGTTTTAGGTTCTGAAGTCAACTTAGTTTGGTTCAAAAACTAAATGTTTGTGCTTTGCAAATACTGCTGACATTCTAAAAAAAGAAGGCTGGAGAATGGAAAAAGCACTGCACTTTGAGTCGTAAAATATACCAGTAAAAATATACTCGTAAAAAAGTGCCTTCACTTCCCTGAGTCTCCGTTCCTCATCTGTAAGTTGTATGTAATAAAATGTACTGTTGAGGTAAATAAACTCAGGTAAAAATAACCAGCAGAATGCAGATGATTGATCAATTCTAGTTATCTAGTAAATGAATCAACGGTAGAAATCGTAAAGTAGTTGAAAAATGCTGAAATTAATACCTTAATCATGATTATCTTAGAAGACTGGAATGCATTTTACAGTGTCTTCATTATTACTAAATATTCAATCAATGTTACAAGTAGTGTTGTGGAATAAGAATTCCAGGCACTGAAGAAAGGAAAAGCTGAAATGGCAGTGTCATTAATTGTGAAAACCTGCAAGTAGATGACAAGAAGTACATTTTACTGCATACACTGATATCATTTCTTAGCTTACTGGTGTTTTCCAATGTGGGAAGCTGGTGCAAATGTGAAAAGAAAAAAACGTACTTATGTCTTTCCTCTTTGACTCAACATCATGGAGAGGTTAAAATGCCATCATCCAGCAAAGCATAGGTCAGAAATGAATGTTAAAATACATGGGGAATACTCCTTGACCCACTACAGAAATTATTGCTAAGACTTCTTTAATGGAAATTAAATTTTATACAGCAATTTTTAAAGAACTGGGCTGATCAGAAATGCACATGTTAGCAGCATAAGAAAACTTGTCAGGAATCACCATTGGTGTGTGTGCCATACCATCACAGCTGATGTGAAAATCACATCTCAGGAAAAAGGATTAGTTTCTAACTTCCTGTTTTTTTCCTTTCAAGTCTTATGAATGTCATTTATAAAAGAAGTTATCAGAAATCTAGATGATAATGACCAGGAATTGAGGTTAAATTGAGGAGAAAAAAGTTTTAGGAGCATCTTAATTTTCTCACAAAATTGTTAATGAATATTAATATCTTTCATGATCATTTGTGGCAAATGATACTGAGTATATTCATTGTCCAATTGGATTATATCTTATTAAATTGTGTGCTTACTTGTACTAAGCTTAGATTAATGGCTAGAATTCCAAAGGCATTAAGGCAACTAACTCCAAGTCATCTGTTAGGTCAGTCATGTGCTTTCACCTCATGGAGAAGCTTAAATTCGGTGAAAACAAAGGGGAAGAATGTTAGGCCTGTGTTTTTGTGTCACTAAGCAGAGTTTCTGTCAAATATAACATTTCTATTTTAGGGCAGAATATTTGAAATTGAGGTCTCAGATAAAGTGGTCTTTGATAAAACCTGCCATTAGTTTCTTATTTGCATTTTCAGACTTTTACACAGTATTGCAAATACTGGCATAAGACAGTTAACAATAATTTTATTTCTGTGAAAGAAATTCTTTCTAGTGAAAGAATTTCACTACATGTTTTAAAACATGTGAAAACATGAAGGAATTTGAGTTTGAGAAAGAATCATGTTTTAAAACATGTAAAAACATGAAAGAATTTCACTACATGTTTTAAAACATGTAAAGTGTTTCTTTTGCTGATGGCTTATATTCTTGTTTCAGCCAATGATATTGTAAGCTTTCCCTACAGAAAAATTTCTTAACACATGTGTGTTAGGCATCAAAGTCAAAATAATCAGAAATACTTATGTTGGACTTGAATTAAGTAGTGCATTTGTTAAAATTATTGTGTTTATTTCCAAAGATTATGTTTGCCCAATAATATTAATAAAATATAAAGTTTCTGTTATCTTGACATTTCTAAACCTGTCTCTGTAGTCATCATCATAGACATCTTCCTCTTA